CTGTAGAAATTATTAGATGCTGACTTAATAGACAAATGTGTATTATCATTGATAAAACAGTGGACTTTACCGTTTTCATTTGAATCTGGGTCTTGAACATTCATCATCGCAACAACAGTGTTAGGTTTAGAGTGTTCAGATATCATATTTGATTTTGACATTATATTAATCGTTGGCTTGTTGTCGTTTATATCCACCACTTCAACGATAACTTTGCACGAATCTGTAAGTCCACCATCATCACTTGCACGTATGTTAATATGGTAATTTCGTGCATTTTCATAATCAATGTTTCCAATTAATTTTATTTCTCCACTTTCTTCATGTATCTGAAACAAGGCATGCGCTTGATCTAAACTGTTTGTAATGGAATATTTTATTCTACCATTTGATCCATGATCTGCATCTGACGCACTAACACTCGTGACAACTGTCCCTTCCGGGGCGTTTTCAAAAACAGTGGCTGTGTAGGTGGACTGCGTGAAGACAGGCGCATTATCATTAACATCTAATACCGTGATGAAAATTCGAATTGTACCTGACATTTGCGGATCTCCGCCATCAAAGGCTGTTAGAACTAGTGATATCGACTCTTCCTTTTCTCTGTCAAGAGGCTTCTGTAAAATCATTTCAGCCTTTTCCGTTCCACTACCTTGACTGTCCCCTTTCAGTACAAAATTATCGGTAGGTTTAAGCTCATATTTCTGAAGACCATTTTTGCCGACATCAAGATCAATTGCTCTGTCCAGAACAAATTTTCCTCCGATTACAGCAGATTCACTGATTTTAAAGGTTACCTCGCTTTTCTCAAAGGTGGGGGGGTTGTCATTTATGTCTATAATCTCGACTGTGACACTGTAAAACTCCATAGGGTTTTCTAAAATGATCTGAAAATGTAAAGCACAAGGTGTTGTCTGCCTGCAAAGCGCTTCTCTGTCGATCCTCTCTTTGATTAGAAGAAGTCCGCGTTCCCCGTTTAGCTCAATATATTCCACACCGTCTCCCGTATAAACGCGAGCTCTTCCAGATTTCAGTCGTTTTGTATCCAAACCCAAATCCTGGGCAATATTACCGACTAAAGAGCCACTCGGCATCTCCTCGGGAATAGAGTAGCTGATTTGGCCGATGACTGGACCGAGATAAAAGACCAAGGAAAACAACAGCGCTTGCCATTTCATTGTTCTGTTCGAACTGCTCCCCTGGAAAATTAGCAGGAAAAAACTATTATCCACAATTACCGAATGTCCCTTACAGGTGATAAAACACAGACATCACTCCGAAACCATTTGAATCGGTTAAAGAAAGGTTGAAAACGGCTCTAGTTAAAATGATCTCCGACGTTTGAACACGACGTCTTTCTCTCTGTGATATCATCATGGCGAGCGAGGTTTCTCTTTAAATGTGCCCTGAAATATCAACACACTGGCCAACAGCGGCCCTACGAGTACATAATTAGGAACTACAGAAAACGCCTGGAAAACTAAAGGAAAACCCTGTTGTGCACGAAGGCTTATTGTTTTTACAAATACCAGGATAACACAGCCCATAAAAGAGTTAACGTCTGCAACACTAGAGAATACTAGTTCCCTTATTTTAGTTGAACAGATCACAGAGTCTATATTCTTTACGCATACCACTGAACTGAACGATTAAGTCATGATGATATCTGACGAGTTACTTAAAAATACTGTCACAAATTCAACAAAGCGAAATACATGACATAGATAGCCCCCCCACCCCCGCCAAGTTTATATTGAGTTACAGTCTTTCGACGAGTCTTGGCAAAAAGAGACGACACGATTTATGTTCAAATTTTACACCATCACCAATAACTAAACGTCAAATACTAACATACCTTCACATGTTGACAAAACATCAATACGTTAAGATAGACACCCATTGTCAAAAGCGATGGAACAAGTAACGTGCCTCTGTCCATGGTGCTGATTCTTGACTAGCGCTAGTTGGTTCTTAGTAAAAACTATGAACAGAAAAAAAAGTTTACGCTTCAAAATTGGCAAGATCATTATATAACTAACCTCTAGAGGAGAGTCTGGTTCATCCAGGATGCTCTTTTCACTCTGTATCCGCTGCATCGTTCCTGTAGAACTGGGGTCCATTATCAGCACGTTCTGACTACCAGCTCTGCCGAACTTACAGTCACTCTTTCTGGAGTCAGTCGTCCTGCACACCTCGTAATTGTACACATGTGGCAGAGTCCCTGTCCCCAAAGTGTCTGAGTAACGTGGTGGATAATATGGAATGACAGGCAGGTTGGAGTGATACAGGATGCGAGACTGTCTCCACCTGTAGATTTTGACTGATATAATAACCACTAAACACGTGATGAAGAGGAAGGAAACTACAGCCAGAGCCAAGACTAAGTAAAAAGTCAGGTTGTCATTGTACTCCTTGTCGTGTGTCAACTCAGTGAACTCCGACAGCACTTCAGGGAAGCTGTCCGCCACCGCCACGTTAACAACGACTGTAGCTGAACGAGAGGGCTGCCCGAGTTAGTTTAGGTTGAGTTTTAGGAACACAGTGTAGAACAGATCAAATCACGGTTTAGGCAAGCCTGTTTAAAACGGATTTCTACTTGTCGGTGGATTTAAACAGATTCCTTTTATTTTTCATACTTCATGATTTGGTGAATTTTTAATCTTTATACGATAAACAATAGCCGTGATTTTTTGACAACGGTGTTATTATGACTGGTAAGTGTCTGAGTATCGAGGTATAATATGGAATGACAGGCAGGTTGGAGTGATACAGGATGCGAGACTGTCTCCACCTGTAGATTTTGACTGATAACTCTGGTCCGACAGAAATGAACGGCACTTACTGATTACTTCACTTTTCTGCCTCAAGTTTATGCTGTGAGCGTGAGGCTGATAATAATAAGCTCAATTCAAAAGATTCCCAGCAAGACAATGCGAAAGATTTTGTGCGTGGGCATATAGCCAATGAAGAAATGGTAATGCGAAGGAGTATCTTCATTAAGGACCCTGATGACAAGACCCTGATTGGACTTAAGGTAAAAGTCAGGTTGTCATCTGTACTCCCTCTGTGTCGGTTCACGGTAATGTGTTCTATACCGGAAGACAGCGTCAGTACATCGAGGCTGATAAGGAAAGAGGATGTGAGTCAACTCAGATCGTCGAATCCTCCGACTAATAGACAATTAGAGGCGAAAGAGCTGTATCCGATACGACACCCGGCACGAACGGGCTGTCAACTACACAACTGTAGCGTTAGCAACGAGCAGGAGAGCAGCCCTAGCAAGCCTTGTTGTTTACATTTTCACCGATTGTCCATCCACTAATATAAACACGTCATCGTTGTTTGACGATGCATTCTTTAATCAGTGATAGCTTAGAGCGCCACCGTGAATTAAGATAGTGTCTGTATCCTCTCTCTTTCTTTACGTAAGGCCTCCTTATAAACAGCGCTCAACTGTCTCGGTAGTGGTTTATTCGATGCTATGTATGCCTCTATAGGGAGTAATTTACGAAAAAGATATGCTGTCGACAGGAGCAACATCAGTTGCTCGAACCACTCTTTGCAGTCACACGATAGCCCACCCATCTGATCACGAATCGTGCTCTAGTTTATGCGAGACTAAAGGAAATGACCAGTATCCGACTGAATCGTTGCTTAATACGGATACTCTATATTCACACAGAGAAGTTCAACAGATACTGTTTTGTCTTGCTTAAATTGCAGCTCACAAAGTGTACAGAGAATGTGAGCGAAGAAGAGTAGGAGTTATACTTTCTTAACGCGTCCAGCTATCATTATGGATTTCGACGTACGACAGTATCGCTGAAGACTGTATAATCTTTGGATTGTGTGACTAGCCGGCCGATTCGAAGCATCCCTGCTGGTTCTCTGAGCAGCGAGTACGAGTGGGAGACTCTTGTTATCTTTCTCTGTAGTCATAAAAACGAGCGCTATTTTGCGAATGTATGACTGAGTGCATAGCAACTCTGCATCTTATTCACCGTAGCACTAGCACGACACATACTGACAGGAGAGAATCTGGCACTCCGTTAGGAGGAGCCTCGCTAAAGAGTGTAGACAACACTTGGCGTTCTGGTTCCTGATTAGTTCGAGCCGTCTGAGTGGTGTGCTTTGAACCGTGATAGAAAGAACCACTTGAAGAGGTGAGCACTATGGTCTGAATAATTTTTTGCTAAGACTGAGGTCGTCATCCAGTGATCTTCTACTCATAAGAAGTGTTGCATTGATTATCATTAACGTTCTGTAGATTCGTTGATGTATGTTGTGATGTAACGCTGTTGGATAGGGGAAAGTGACTGTACATCCCGCATAAAATCAAGCAGGTCACTATAGTATTTAATCAGATAATAGATGCGACGAGATGCCCATAATTCTTTGTGTGCCTCTCGATATCACGCAAGCTCTCATAAACTTATGATGTGAAATAAAACCCATTTACTCATTGAGTCTGTATTTTTGGGAGATAGACTTGGAAATATTGCATTTCAGCTCGTCAAACTGGGGAATGCATATCTATGTATATCCAGAACACAAACGACTCCCGGTTTTAAAGTTCTGTGAATCTGTGATCGTGTAGTGGGTATTAATGAACCTGTAACTCTTGAAATTACAATAAAATGGAGTGTTTGATGTGATGAGTACATCTTGAATATGATTTCTATCTTGTCATAATAGATGAATAAGATTTATTTTAGCATTTAGAACAATTCCTTCTGTTTGATGTTAGTATGTTCCAGGTCTCAATGAAGATCACAAAGAAGAGGCTTGAGTACACTTCACTATCTCGCTCGAACTCAGTGAATGAAGAGCATCGGCCTCCTCCGCGTCTGTATCTCTAACTCTCTCAATATCTACACTCTTGATAAGTGCTGTAATTCCGCGTTATTATTCATAAGCAATCCTATCTTTCCTTCTTTGAGAGTCAAAATGAGGCTCCTGTTAGCACACGCACTGATGGTATTACATTTACACTTCTCTGTTTGGATTGACTCACTTAAACACGTTGAGCTAAAACACGTCCATTGCTTATTACCGATTTATCAGATATGTATAATCTCCGTTTGTAATCCATCTCTTGTATTACAGATGCACTGTACAGTGTGCGATACTACATCGCATACTTGTGTGTCCTTTCACGCGTGTAGATTCTTCTTGGTCGGAATAAGTGCCATGTCTCGCTGCGTCCTTTTATATGACGGGCCAGATCAGTCTTTGTGAACATTCAAGTGGTGCAGAGTCACAGATTTATGGTCCTTCACAAATTTCCTAGAATCACAGTGAACACGTGACTAATGATGCAAATTAAATGAAGTCTCCCTCGAACCCAGACTCTGCGAACTTCCTCCCGTAGCCATTCTCGTAGTTCACCAGTGCTCTCAACAGCCTGGATGCACTAACATTAGATTCGTTCTTATTTACTGTGCCTCCTGGACCCAGTGCTGATGGACTATTGGTCGATACGTAGAAACATTGTCGGTGACCTTGTTGTAGTTTCCTTGTGGAACAGGCATGATGACCTTTAGTTTTAATACTAATAAAATGATCTATGAAGACAAAGCTGAACAGGGCCCTGTTGAAGAACTGCTGTGTTACCAGAACATGCAGAATTTCAACTATCGCCCTATTGTCGTGAGTAAATCTATCTCTGCTTTCTGTAACACGTAATTATACAGTCCGAATGACTTTATGAGGTACAATAGAGGCAGCCTCTGCGGATCTCATGCCAATGACTCAAGAGCTCTCGTTTCTTCTGAATTCCCGGGTAAACGTAGGCTGTGCCTGAATGCTTCGGAGTTCAACTAGTTGTAACATTCTATGAGTAGACTTACATGTACCGTAATCTCAATGCCTTACTCTCTCGATAACAGCCTCTTGGCTCCTGCTTTGTATGCCTCCTTTCATCAAACGTGTTCTCGTTATCATCAAGGTATCCTATTAACTCAAGTAGGTATACACCCGCGAGATCAGCGTCGTAGGCCATCAGAGATACCTCACCTGCGTGGTTGTCTCTCCGTCTTACTCAAAGCTACTCTACTTGATTCTATCCGTTCGCCTTCTGGGCCATCTTCTACCAAGCAGTGCCCTCCCTATCATTTTTATTAACACCCGAGGTATTCTACGACTGCGCCCCGCCCTCCGTTGGGTACGCGTGTTGAGCGGTTTACCTGAGTTTCAAGCCTTTATGATTCTAAAGCACTAAAATCATAGCTATGTTCAACACAGGCCTTTGGCCATTTCTTCCGGACATGAGTAGCTGCACCTGCCGAGCACGCTATTTGAGAATAGGCTAGACGAAACAACAGTACTTGCCGTCTCATTGTTCTGCAAGACCCGATTTCCGTTCCTTCTACACTAAAAAAAGAAGCATTTGTCATGGAGAGAATATGAAGACAGAAAAAAAATCGTTCGCATTCCAATTATAAGAATCAAACGGTGTAAGCAGGTATAGAATTCCTTGCAGTGCTTCTTATAAACCCGAACAGTCTTTCTGTCTGTACGTCGAATATTTCCACGCAAAAGGGAAGACACAGAGGAATAAAAAACATCCAGCCAAATCGCAACACCCTTGCCAACAGCGACCCTTTGAGTTGAAAATACAAATTACAACATTCATTCTCAAAAACAATGAATTCAGTGTAAAGCCACGCTATTAAGTCTCATCTAAACCTCGAGTATCCTAAATTTAAAGATTTTAGGATATCTGCAGCTTACAGCATATATCGTTTAATTATATATTGAAACATCTTAGTAAAAATTACATTGTGCAATTATAAAATAAATATATCCTAAATTAAAGCTGACACGAATTACAGAAATTAAGTCCAGTCTTAATGAAAAGGACTCTGGAATGCTGAAGTTGAAAAATTAAGGTGTCGCTGTCTGTGGTGCTGAACGGCGATGTAAGTTGATAAAAACTTTGCAACGCATCAACGCTAAAAGATACTGGTTATGTTTAAAATTGTAACTGTAACTGATGTAGTTTCCTAACATCTAATGGAATGTCTGTCTATTTACCTCCAGAATATCATGAAGCATAAAAGGCAGAAAAAAACATGTATCATTTCATGAGGCTAACCTCTAGAGGAGAGTCTGGTTCATCCAGGATGCTCTTTTCACTCTGTATCCGCTGCATCGTTCCTGTAGAACTGGGGTCCATTATCAGCACGTTCTGACTACCA